GGCTTGTGAAATGCAATCATAAATATGAGTGGCCTATGAAAGGCCTACTTTTGATACTTCTACCTAGAATCAGGCTATCTTCGTTAAAATAAAACTCTGTAAATATCAACTTTTCAGATCCCATGGGAATGTAATACGTATATGGCACGTTGTAGTTATTTCTTTTTAAAAGATGACAAAAAGAAAACATGAACTCAATTTCAAAAATTTAATAGAGAACCTGGGTTTAGTGAATTGCGTTGTGTTTACAACATCGGAAACCACAATTTTGTATTAAACTTCACGCCCAGGTTACGGAAAACCAGAGATGAACATACCACGGCCCGCAGCGACATTCATATACGATCCTTTATTAATATTGTTTTTATTTTCCAAGCATACGTTAGTATAACGAACTGTAGTCACAAAAGGCAAAACAGATAAAATACACAAATTAAAGTTATGGGGTCCCTGGAAGCCACTTCATAGTAATTTTATTGCGAGTCATAAAGACTTGAGAATAATAAAGAATAGGTTCAGCCTATTCTAATTACGAATTAACAGGCCTAATACAACTTACATAAATTGGTTGCCTCTAACTACAAACCTGACACAGACACAGATCTCTTAACTATCATTAACAAAACTTTTCTTGTCCAATTAGTTTATGAAGACGTAAAAATATTACTTAAGTAGAAGGAGATTCTTGTTTCGTAGCCACTGTTACCACCGTGAAACATGTCCGAGCCTCACTTACCCCCAACAGAACCTAGTCCAACCTACAATCTGCTACCCAATGAAACAGAATCGAAATCTGCCCAGCGTACTATAGGATGCACTGCTCTAAAATTGACTTTTATGAGGAAAAAGTTTCTGGGATGGGAGACCCTTGTTCGCCACTTACAGGATAAATTGCCTACAAAAACAAAACATGATAAGAACCTACAAAGAAGAATCAACAAAAGCGTATCAACCCAGAATACGTGTAGCACACAAGCGTCCAACTGGCGATCACACAAGAATGACATGTGAAGGCGACTTCATCTGCAACACACCGGTGGGATTTTATTTTCAGACACCGTCAATATAATTTTTACCCGATCGAAGGGAAACATTCAAACAAGGACGGGCTACATATTTCAGTTATGCAATCATCAGGTCATTTACAAGGAAATACGAAATAGAGAAAACGTTGTGTAGTTATAGCCGATTGAGCATACAATTATATTAATAGGATGGCCGATCTACATTAATATAAAATTTGTTTTTAAGTTAACACACAATGAATTACTCGAATTCTTTACAATTGTGCGCATTATAAAGCTTACATTAATGTATGCTTCTGTGGTATATGAATGCGTGCACAGCTGGATCCAAACATATTTTAAAATAAATTAAAAGTACGATAATAAATGTGTGTTACGAAAGCAAATGATTTTGTAGAAATTTACAATCACGCTTAACTGTTGGGAATATTACATGTCTGTAGAAAGAGACACCATACGGGCATGATCAATGTGGAAGTTAAGAATTCGGAAATGAAAAACAACATGGCTACTACACGGGAGTGAACACAACGATCCCAGCGCCGCTGCCAAGCCTGGAAGCATCCCTGGAAATCTTTCTTTGTCAGCCTGTCAAGCACCATCTGCGATTCTGCCTGAATCTCTTCTATCGTCTCAAATCTCCTTCCCTTTAGCTGAATTTTCATCTTTGGGAAGAGGAAGAAGTCACACGGAGCTAAATCCGGCGAATAAGGAGGGTGCGGGATGACGGCCATGGTGTTTGAGGCCAAAAACTGCCGAACTTTGAGGGCGGTGTGCGCTGGCGCGTTGTCATGATGCGTCGCATGTGGAGTTCTTCCTTTAGAATCAGCTGACATGTCCCATAGCCTATCCCAACAATGTCGCACAAGTCGTTGATGGTACGACTTCGATCTTCGTAACATTTTCGGGCGTTGTGCTCGAAGATGGTCGTCCAGAACTCTCGTCATCATCGACAGAGGTTCGGCCGGCCCTTTTTAAAACGTGAATGCCACACAAACGTTTGTGCACGACCCATTGCGGACTCCCCAAATGCTTGCTTTAGCATTTCATAGGTTTCCTTAGCCGTTTTGGCGAGTCTTTGGCAAAATTTGATGCACACGCCATTCCGAAATCGCAGGAGGGTCGGTGTAATGCACTACCAAAACGCCCGTAACTAAGAAACAAATGCTAATTAGATGATGCCGGCTGGCACACTGATTCACTATGAATGTAGGCCGCACCCCCTAAAGGCAGAAGCTCGTACTACATCCGGTTCGCCCTCTATTGACACAGTCTTGAAACTTTCCGATCGCACCTCGTAGCTGATGCCGATGGCGAATAATTACGGAATCAACTTGATTTGTGATTTTTATGACATTAGAACCGAACTACAAATAACAGTCAATTAGCAACTTAGTAGCATTGAAATTCTTAAAATAACTAAAGATCTTTTAAAGAGGTGTCCCCATATTTTTCCGCCGCCCCAGAAGCAAGGAAATTTCTCAACTATAACACAGCTTTAAACTGAGAGAATATGCAAAGCTTGACGCTCAGTGTCACCATTAGCCAGAAAAGAAATACGCCTACCCTTCTAAGCGATACCCTAATAATGACTTTATTGTTCACTGTGAGTTATTCTGCTCCCACCCTTAAACAAGTTTTATTTTCATTGACGTCATACACCTTAACTGATTCAAACAGAATAGCAGTAGAAAATGTCAGCATTAAAAAAAACGTGCACCAATCTATTAAATATATCCCACGCAAACTGTCACGCGCAAACACGACACTGGGTAAGCCTCCGAGTGAGTGAGTGAGTATTTATAAATGTAAGGGAGAAGGTCGATGTGCTGTGCTTTAGAACCACGTAAGAGGGCACTCATTAGAGGCGGGCGTCGGCGTTAAATGGGCGTTGCACGCTCCGGCTTTCCTGGCCTTGGTACCAAGTATGTGGGCCGGTCTAGACGTGGTGATTTGACAGAAATTACTCGTATTTCCGTCCCGCAATTTGTGCACTACATAAAGACTAAGTTCATGTCTGCGGAAACACATTTTTCCTGAACCACCTCTGCTGGCACCAACACACCATTTACCTCCAACTCAACGCACAGATTCCATATGTATGTAAGGGCTTCCTAATCCCTACCCCCACAGACATTCGCTCTAAACATGACAAGCACAATATTCGTAGAAACACCGGAAAACATTGTCAAATCGTTGCCGCTTATTCATGAAAGTCCGAAAGTTATTACTAATCTTAGGTTTCA